TATGTTATGTTTATTTTTGCATAGTTAACGAATTTAGGATACCTGAAATTTTTGGTTCAAATGTAAACCGAACCGAAACCGCATTTCGGTTCGGAGCTTTAGTTAATATGAAACTCGTCTACATCAGATCTACTATGGAACCCAAGAATTACAGCACCATTAGAGGTATTTTGAAGAAGAAACAAGGTGAAAAAATTGCTCCATATATTTTTAAAATAAATGAAACTCAGACATTGGAAGCTTATCTAAGAAAAGAAAAGATTACTTATGAAATTTACCAAGAAGAAAGAAAGATAATAAATGTGGGAAAAAGAAAGCATCATGATGACTTAATAAAAATCAAAAATCTTTAAAAGATTGATAATATATAAATTTTTATTAATTATATGTACAGTACAACAATTGTTTATTCAACTATACATCAACCAATTAAAAAAAAAAAAACTTATATTTCTTCAATGTATTCCACCTGGACCATACTTACGATGTTTAATGAATCCTGAGTGATGAGTATAAAGTGCAGTTACTGGAAGATCAGTTTCTGAAATTGATAATAACCGATTTTCTGATGTTTCTTTTATTGGACATCCAGATTTAATCCATTGATATACAATATCTCTCCAAGTCCAAGGTTCATAAATTTCACCTTGGTATTGTTCGATTTCACTTGTAAGATCGTCAACAGGAGTTTTTATAGGTCCATATCTAATTGCAACATTAGCGAAAACTGTACCCATTTTATTAGCTGGTGACATCAAAGTAGTAATGAAAGGACTGGATTCAGGTTTTCCAGGTATGACCATTTTAAAATCATTCTTATCACAAATTAATGCTTTCATCATCCAAACTGGATTATCACGATCAAGCCACCTAGAAATTTTATTGTAAAGTTAATTAAGGTTAATAAGATGTTTATTTATTTTGTTAAGAATATTATTAGGTTTATATATATATATTAATATTAATATATACCAATGAATATCGTTAGTTACATAAGCGTCAGGATTATCAGGATTATCAGGGTCTGGTCCAGTTAATGTATGCCTAGATCATCAAAAATATTGATTATATAGTATCGATTATTTTAATTATCAATTATCAAAATGAATAATAATAATAAATAATTGATTAAGATTTTTTTTTTACATTGCATGTGCCTGTTCATCATATTGATTGTTTTTTAATGTCTCTATGAGACGTTTCATTTCCGCAAACAAATCAAGATTTAAATTTGGTGGTGGTAAATTAGGATCAAGAGAGCTGATCCAATCACGCCATAAACCAAGTTCATCATCAGTAAAAACTTTATACATGGGACCCTCCCAAGTTGTTACACGAGATAAAATAGGTGATTCGTCTGGATCACCTTTCACAATATATGAACTTTCAGCCAAAGCATTCAAAAAACCTTTAGGATCTTCGAACCAATCATTTATAAGTTTGTTTCCAAGTTTTCGATCATCATGATTACGTTTTGCGTAAGGGGCTTTATAAGAAATCATATCGACCATTCTTTCACTAAGAGTTGGGATTCCTAATAAATGTATGATTTATTTATTTGTTATTATTATTATCAACAAGCAATAGTAATAATATAAGTATAATAATAAAAACGAAAATCTATCTTTACCGAGTCTTTTTAATCTGATTTTCTTTGAAAGATCATCACCAAGCGTTCCGGTAGACCAAAACTACAATGCAAGATTATTTGTTTGACCAAGCCAAAAAAAAAAAAAAAATTAAAAAATACATATATATATAATATTACAAGTACAATAATAAAAATTGAATACTCACAGCAACAAATCCTGTCCAAATACGTCCCCAAGCTTCCTGGACAGCATCATCACCACCAGATTGACTCACATAATCTAGATAAAGTTCTATAGCTCTTTTTGCATGGGCACCTTGTATAAGATAAATATATATCAATATATTATTAGTTAGATAGATTTCGATATTTGCATTTCAAATATTTGTAATTTATTTTTTTTTTTTTAAAAAAAAAGGCATACCATGACCCGTGGAAGCATTATCTATTGCAACATGCATCACGTAAAAGTGAGGATCCACACCATAATATTTAAATAATTTGATAGTTGGCTTTAATTCCAAGACAGTCCATTCTATCTGAAGGGTAAATCCAAGAATTTCAGGAAAGAACAAACTAGAGAATTGAGAAACACAGAGAGCCAAAGTTGGTGCTATAGATTTAAATTAAATAAAATGTATAAAATGTGATAATTTTCGTGATTTGAATTCTAAAAATAATGATAATAATATAATAGTAAAAAAAAATTCGAAATAACATACCCGAAAAAGCAGAGTCGAGAAAATTTGTATCAAAAGCATAAGCATCTTGATATATATTTGGTAGACGTATACCACATTCTTCAAGTAGAGTAGTATATAATGTCGCGTGATTAAGTTCGACTTTACCATTTCCAAGTTCATCTTGCCAAATTTCAAAAAGAAGTGCCGAAATCTCATCGATCGGACCTTTAGATAGTAAATAGGGTTAATATTAAGTAAATTTTTCACAAAGACATAAAAAAAATGAAAGACTAGTTACTTACCCACTTTAACTGCATTATGTAACCAAGCACCATCTGTCTGATTGAAAGGTGCAAATTGACGGACTCTTTCTATGACATCGTCGCGAGAACTATAGGTAGGATCATTTTCTGGTTGATAAGTTTCAGCTTCATTTTCACAATAATTGTAAATATCTTCCAAGCGTTTATCAAAAGCATCCTGAGTATATTTAAAGGGTTTTAAGAAGAGATCACCAAACTCATCCGGGGATGGATTCTCTGAATATTTTTTGATGGCAGCTTTTGCCTGTAAATGAAAAGATTTTTTTTAAAAAAAAAAAAAGATTTACAATACTAATACGGTATCAATATAAAATTTTTTTATTTATTGAATGACTTACATTTTCAAGATAATTATATGCCATATCTTTAGCTGTCACCAAAAATTCTGGGTACATTTCAATGTTCAACAGCTATATATATATTGTATAAAACGATTAAATAATAAAATGTTTATTTAAATTCTTTTACTTCTTTGAAAATTTTCAGTAATTTTAAAAAATCACCTTATAGAAAGCTTCTCGTTCGGGAGCCATTGGAATTCCTTCGGGCATGCCATTTTTCATCCATGTTTGAAACGTATCGAGATTTTCTTGACTCCATTTACCATCAGGTGGCATTTTGATGGAACCCGTATAACTTAAAGCATCCCAAATTGGATTTGCGTTAGTTTTAACGTCTTCATATTTGTAAAGATCGAATTGACTCAACATGCAATCACGGTCTTGTTTTCTAAACAAAATTTTAACATTTTGAAATGTCACAGCCATCTTTTCTCTTTCTTTTTGAGATTTTTTTTTTTTAATTAAAAAAAAAACAAAAAAAACAAAATCTATAGAGGGTTTTATATTTGTTTTAACGAAAAAAGATCTATTAATATTATAAAAAATCAATTTAGCCGAAGTCTAATATACACAGGATTGTTGTTTTTATACACAACTTTTAAATGGAAATTTAATAACCGCCAGTCAGTGAACAAACAATAAACATGTTTAATTTTTGTTACAAGATTATCCAACTTTTGCAACGGGATTAACGGAATTCCTTTTTGGTGAATTCAATATTAAATTAGAATATTAATATATAAACTAAGCCTCAACGGAAAAAATATTTATGGGCTAATTAATGAATATTAATATTAATATGGTAAATTTGAATAGTAATTATTGTTTTTAGCTTGTTACACTCATACAATAATAAACTTAATATTAAGACTGATTTACATGATGTGCGAGTTTAAATCATATATTAATATTTGTTCTTTCTTTCGAAGTCAATGATCTTTTTATTTTTATTGCATTTGTTGATAATTATTTATTTAAACAAATATGACGAATTTAATTTAGTGCGACGTATTTAACTTTAAAAAGGGGATTTTCGGAATTTTTCGAAAAAAAAGGAAATTTCAAGTGTTACGAAAATGATTGCGTTGTGTATAATAGAGTAGTTAACGTTAACTTTAACGTTAATTTCAATTCAACGTCAACTTCAACGTCAATTAACATTAACGTTAACTTAAGTTAAGCGCTGCCAAATTTTTTTTTAACGGATGGAAGTTCTATTTATAATAAAAAGAAAGAAAAGAT